AGCGCTAAGGATGTCCGACTGCAGCTTAGGCCTGCTCCCCGCTGGCAAGTGGACATCCCCCGAGGGCTGCTGGGCTGCCAGAGGGATGTCTGATTGCCATCTTAGGCCCAATCCCCCGGGGAACGGGCCTAAGCCAGCAGGTGGTCATCCCCCGAGGGATCCCAGACTGCGAGAGGGCACAGGCCGGGCTGAGGGACCCTCCTCTCCCCCCCCAAGTGCACAAATTTTTGTGCACCGGGCCTCTGGTCCTATATAATAAAAGGCTAATATGCAAATCGACCGAACAGCGGAAAGACTGGTGGCTATGACGCGTGCTGACCACCAGGGGGCAGACGCTCAACGCAGGAGCCGCCCCCTGGTGGTCAGTGCACTCCCACGGGGGAACACCGCTCAGGCAGAAGCCCTGAGCCAGGCTCACGGCTGGCGAGCGCAGCGGCCGAGGTGGGAGCCTCTCCCGCCTCTGCAGCAGTGCTAAGAAATCCGACTTCCGCGAGGAGCAGGCCTAAGCCATCATTTGGACATCCCCTGAGGGCACAAATTTCATGTACCAGGCCTCTAGTATTATAAAGCAACTTATATAGTGAGAAAGCAGTGGTTGGTGGTTCTTTTTCTTTAAACTTTTTTTATTTTAACAGAGGAAGGGAGAGGGATAGAGAGGTAGAAACATCGATTGGCTGCCTTCTGCACGCCCCCTACTGGGGATGTGCCTGCAACCAAGGTACATGCCTTAACCAGAATCAAATCTGGGGCCCTTCAGTTCGACCTTCCACTAAGCCAAACTGGTTAGGGCTGGCTGTTTGTTCTTCACAGGGATTGGTTATAATAGAATTTTCTGCGGTTACCTCCTATCAGCCTGGGGAAACAGTTCAAATTTTGCTAATGACTTCTAGAGGCATAAGCAGGAAATGACCCAGGTCAAGTTAATCTTGTAAAATAAACTAAATTGAGCTTTATTTTTATGACTAAACTGGTTTTGTCTGCCTAGGGAACGTTCACATCTAGTCTCCATTTGTTTATTTTAATGTCACCATGTTGTACATTAAATCCTCAAACTTGTTAATCATAGAACTGGAAATTTATATTTTTTACCAATAGCTCCACAGTTCCCCCACTCTCTGTTTCTCTGAGTTTGACTCTTGGATTCCACGTATAAGTGAGATAATACTGTATTTTTCTTTCTCTGTCTGACTTATTTCACTTCGCATATTGCCTTCGAGGTCCATGTATGTTGACAAAAATGGCAAGATTTTATTTTTTATGATTGAATAATGTTCCATTTTATATGTATATATTTTTACCCATTTATCCATTGATGGACACCTAGGTTTTTTAATCTTGACTATTGTGAATAATACTGCAGTGAACATGGAAATGTAGCTATTTCTATGAGATCCTGATTTTAATTTCTTTTGATATAAACCCAGAAGTGGGATTGCTGGATCATATGGTAGTTCTGGCTATAATTTTTGAAGAACGTCCACACTTTTTTTCTACAGTGGTTGAACCAATTTGCTGAATTCCTGTTTTCATTCACAATAATAATGAGCTATCCTTGTTAGTTTTATAATTGATTTGTCCTTAAGCAGCACACAGCTATAACCACTTAAGATTTTTATGAGAAAGTGTCATTGAAAAGTCTCTGAACAGTCTCCTTAAAAGTTTTGATAAAAATTTTGCTATCAAATGTAAAACTGATGGAAATCCCAACAGAAATATTATACAGAAGAATTTTTATTTAGTATCTTTTCCTAGAGCAAAAAATATTTTAAAGTTATTCATCATGAAATAGAATTAATTACCTTACTACTTGATCTAGAAATGTTATTCTCACAAAAGGAACACACTAGTATTGAAATTTTAGTATGAAGACAGCTCTGTGCCTATTCTGTGAGTTAAACTATACACATCTAATGTTTAAGAAAAGGGTAACTTGTCCTACTCACCACTGAGATAATGCCTTATCTAAGATTTATTTGTTTGTTTGTTTATTTATTTATTTTTGGTTAGTTCTCACCTGAGGGTATTTTTTCCATTGATTTTTAGAGAAGATGGAAGAGAGGTAAGGGGGAGGGGAGAGAGAGAAACATCGATGCGAGAGAGACACATTGATAGGTAAGCTTCCTGCACATGCGGGCCTGTAACCCAAGTACATGCCTAGATCAGGAATCGAACTCGGACCCTTCAGTCTGAGGGCCAAGGCTCTTACCACTGTGCCAGACTGGTCAGGGCAAGATTTATTTTTCAGTTGAATTCTATTTACTTGGTTAATTATATTGATAACTTTCACTGTAATTTTTATGAGGCTGTTTATAATGACAACTTAAATTACTTTTTACAAGTTAAGATTTCATTCCTTATTACACAATGTAACAGCAGTGTCCTTGAAGTTTCTACATTTAAAAATACATATTTTTTTATTGATTTCAGAGAGGAAGTGAGAGGGAGAAAGAGAAAGAAACATCAATGATTGGAGAGAACTATTGATCAGCTACCTCCTGCATGTCCCCTACTGGGGATCGAGCCCACAACCTGGGCATATGCCCTGATCGGGAATTGAACTGTGACTTCCTGGTTCATAGGTCAACATTCAACCCTGAGCCACATTTAAGATTAGCATAATATACTCATTTTCTCATCTTACTTTGTTTAAGACTAAAGTTAGGTTTGAATCCAAAAAATTAACTACAGCATGGAATTTGACAAAGTCACTAAAAATGTAGGTTAGTGTTTGTACTTGTGAGTTGTGGCTGTTTGACTAGGAATAATGCTGCTGCTGTGATTTTAGAATCTGGATAGTCCCAAGTTTTGGTTGTAGGATTGTGGGGGTAGTGTTACCTAAATAAGGGGAAGGCTTTTCGTATCGTACTGTTTAACATAAGGTAAAATACATTCAAAGGCCATGTTAGAAATGGCATTTTCCCTTTGGTTGTTTAGTAAAAACCACTTGCTTTCTCCAGGTGTGATGGGCGCAGTGGTGGCTCCTCTGACGATATTAGGGGGGCCTCTTCTCATCAGAGCTGCATGGTACACGGCAGGCGTCGTAGGTGGCCTCTCCACTGTGGCCATGTGTGCACCCAGTGAGAAGTTTCTGAACATGGGAGCACCCCTGGGAGTGGGCCTGGGCCTCGTCTTTGTGTCCTCACTGGGTAAGCCACTGTGCTTTGACAGTTGGTTCTTGGTTCGTGATGTACCAAAATCATCTTATGTACTTAGGTTTCCTACTGGGGGGAAGATATTTAGTCATTTTTTAAAGTTGTTTAAAAGATCTGTGCTAATTAGACTGGATTTTCTTATTTGGCATAATAATTACTATTGGTTTACCAAATGCACCTAAAATGGCTAAATTGGTCTGCAGAACATGAGCATTGCTCTGATGCAAGAGCCTTCCTGTAATGTGGGTAAGCCACCCTTTGCAGAAATGAGTATCATGGGTTTTGAATTGTATGTATATAAAATTAGACCATGCTTATAACTGAGATGCTTTTTTATGTTAGTATACCAAAGAAAAAATTTAAAAATAGCATTAACTATATATATAGTTAGAGAAAAGTCCCTTTTTTAAAATAACCTTTTTTTCCCGTTTTGATTTCAGGATCTATGTTTCTTCCACCTACCACTGTGGCTGGTGCCACTCTGTACTCGGTGGCAATTTATGGTGGATTAGCTCTTTTCAGCATGTTCCTTCTGTATGACACGCAGAAAGTCATCAAGCGTGCAGAAATAGTGCCAGTGTATGGAGTTCAAAAATATGATCCCATCAATTCGTAAGTAGTCTTTAATGTCTTTGTTATATAAAGACATTTGTTTCATTTTGTCCTGTTTTATGATTATATTAGTTTCTTAGGGCTGCCATAACAAACGGTACAAACTGGGTGGTTTAAAACAAGAGAAATGTATTCTCTCACAGTTGTAGAAGCTAGAGGTCTGAAATCAAGGTGTCCTCAGCGTTGGCACCTTCAGAGGCCTCTGTGGGAGGGTCTGTTCCTTGACTCTCCTGCCTTCTTGGCAGAGCCAGCATTCCTTGGCTTGTAGATGCATCACTCTGACCTCTCTGTCTGCTCATGGCATTCTTCCTGTCTTGTCTGTTGCTGTCTCTCCTCTTCTTATGAGAACAGGAGTCATATTTGATTAAGGCCCACACTACTCCAGTATTCATCTCAACTCACATCTTAATTATATTCGCAAAGATCCAGTTCCCAAATAGAGTCACATTCACAAATAACCAAGGATTAAGACTTGGACATACCTTTTGATTTCAACCCACAACAATGGCTTTGTCAGATTTTACTATTTTATTTCTATTGCTGTTTGGTCTATTCTCTCTCTAGTAAGCTGTGTATCCATAGAAATTTTATTCTATTGCAACTAAGTAATATTTAGGTATTCAGTTAATTCAGAATAATTAGCCTGATGGTGTTCTTGTTGGCCAATTAATTTTAATATTTAATAGACTTTAGAACTGAAGAAAAGATGTATTAGTTGGGTATTCATTGGAAAGTGTAAATAATTGACTTGAAATGTTTAATCGAAAAGACTTTTACTAAAAATTAGAAATACCTTAGTATGGAAATTTCATTTGGAGATATTCAAATTTAACTGATATTAGGTGTTATATAATAATGCTTTTTTCCTTTTCTCCACCAAAGTAGGTTATTTTATTAAGCAATTTTCTTTGAGTTTCATGGTGTTACCACATATTTTTAAAGTAACTTACTTTTTAAAAATATTTTTTATTGATTTCAGAGACAAAGGGAGAGAGAGATAGAAATATCAATGATGAGAATCATTGGTAGGCTGCCTCCTACATGCCCTTCCCTCCCACCACGGGAGGGGGGGCGGGGGGGGGGGCGTCTTGAGCCCGCAACCTGGGCATGTGGCCCTGACTGGGAATCTAACTGTGACCTCCTGGTTCATAGGTTGACACTCAACCACTAAACCATGCCAGCTGGGCTAAAGCAATTTTTTTAAATTATATTTATTGGAGTGATACTGGTTAATAAGATCATATAGGCTTCAAGTGTACATTTTTATAATCCACTAGAGGCCGGGTACACAAAATTCGTGCACTCTGGGGGGGGTGGGTTTCCTCAGCCCGGCCTGCACCCTCTCACAGTCCAGGAGCCCTCAGGTTAGGCCTGCTCCCTGTGAGTCTGGCTTCCGGCTGAGCGGCACTCCCCCTGTGGGAGCACATGGTCTTTCCACCGTTCAGTCAATTTGCATATTAGCCTTTTATTATATTGGATGATCTGTTTATTGAGTGGTGTGCCCACCATGCGAAGTCAAATCATCTTCTGTCACCATATACTTGGCCCCTTTACTCTCTGCCCCCCTCTGGTAATCACCATCCTATTGTCTGTCTGTCTCTGAGTTTCAGTTTTATATCCCTCATATTAGTGAAATCACATGTTTCTTAGCTTTTTCTGACTGATTTATTTCGCTTAGCATGATATTCTCAAGGTCCATCCATGTTGTTGCAAATGACAGTATTTCACCTTTTCTTACAGTTGAGTAGTACCTCATTGTGTACTAGTATATGTACCACATCTTTACCCAGTCATCTACCAAAGACACTGGTTGTCTCCATGTCTTGGCCACCATGAATAATGCTTCAGTGACCATAGGGCAGCATATATCTTTATGAATAAATGTTTTAGAGTTTTTCAGGTAGATGTTGCTGGGTCATATGGTAACTATTCTTAATTTTTCAAGGAACTGCTATACTGTTTTACATAGTGGCTGCATTCCTACCAGCAGTGAATGAGGGTTCCTTTTCCTTCACAACCTCTCCAACACTCGTTATTACTTGTCTTGTTGATAATAGCCATTCTACCAGGTGTGAGGTGGTATCTCATTGTAGTTTGGATTTGCATTTCGCTAATAGTTGATGAAGTTGAATCTTTTTTCATATATCTGTTGGTTGCTTATATGTCTTCTTGGGAGAGGTGTTTGTTGAGATCCTTTGCTCATTTTTCAGTTAGGTTTTTTGTCTGGTGTCCCATGTACAAAAATTAATTCAGGATGGATTAAGACCTAAATATAGGATCTGAAACAATAAAGTACATAGAAGAAGGCATGGGTACTAAATTTATAGACCTTGGTCATAGAGAACATATCAGGAATTTGACCCCAAAGGCAAGGGAAGGAAAGACAAAAATAAATGAATGGGACTATATCAAACTAAAAAGCTTCTGCACAGCAAAAGAAACTGCTGACAAAACAAAAAGGCAATGAATAGAATGGGAGATGATATTTGCAACCAACAGCTCCAACAAGGGGTTAATATCCAAAATATATAAAGAACTCATACAACTCAATTTATTTGTCTTTTTTTTAAATACTAAAACTGTAATGATGGTTTTTAAAATGCTGCTATAATGCTTACAGATTCATAACAGTTTCTTTGGATGAAGGGGGAGTAGGGCCTTAAGGGAAGGGCATATTATATTTAAAAATGCCAGACTTGTGTCTAACACATTTTTGTAAAGGTATTTCTTTGGTTTTGTTTTGATTCTTGTATTGTCCTCCCTCCCACCCCCCCATCAAGATATTATACTTATAGTAGAGTATTAGAGGATAAAATAATGATTTTTAAACTGCTCATTGCCATTTAAAAGATTAATCTACCAGAAGAAAATCTTGACTATTTTCTTGTCGAGGACTTCCTTAGTTGGCATATCTTGTTTTAAAATGTTCATCTTATATACCTAAGTTAAATAATCAGTATTGCTTTTTCTTCTTTCCTAGATTAAGAAATAGTTGTTGTTATTAGAATTACATACTTAAACAGGTATTATTTTCTTTTCTAGGATGCTGGGAATCTACATGGATACATTAAATATATTTATGCGAGTTGCCACTATTCTAGCAACTGGAAACAGCAGAAAGAAGTGAAGTGACTCCGCTTCTGACATCGTTAATGCGTCAGATTCCTCCTGGCTTGTCTAGTAGGGCAGGTATTCATTAAGTAGTTTGTTGAAGCAGCTTTTGTTGAAGTTTAGAAGATAAGAACTTGTCATCATGTTTGAAATGTCCCAGTAATGTGATCCTTCAGGTCTGCTTTTTCTTCTAGAGAATAAATTCAGTAGTTCTCTGCCAAATAAGTGCACCCGTGTTCAGTTCTCATTTTTGAGTGATTCTGAAATGTTTTAATGAACGTGAAAACTGAGGTTTGTGTTGTGAGAATTTTAAGTGTTTTATCTTAAATTTGTTTTGTTTTGTTAAGTAAAAATTAGCAAACTTATGTTTACCTGTTTAGATTTTGGAATGCATAATATTAACAAGTAATGTCATGAGTGGCATGGAGGTTTGGTAAAGGGACCAGAAAGAAATAAAGGGTCACCTGCAGCTTTTCTTTGAATACTGGCTTTAGGACTTGCTATTTGGAAACAAGTCATCACTTTAATATTTCTCTCCTGAGCTTACGAAAGCATTGAGCACAAAACAAAGGCATAGGTGATAAAATTTCCTGCTGTTCCTTTTCAAGCCTCTTTCCAGTGTAGATGTGACCATATTGGCTTCTCATTGTTTGACATTGTTAGGATACTCCAGAATTGTAATCATACGGAGAATTCCTAGTATAAAATACGTGTATGTGCAAGCTTTACTTTTGAATATTCTAGAACAAAATATTCCTTAAAATACTTTCTCAGGATAAAATATTCAAAGTATACAAACAATTGCTGAATTTTTTGCATATTTATTGAAATGTTTAATAGAATACATGCTTGTTTTTTTTCACCTCTTCAACTTTTGAAGCTTTATTAGAAAAACCTGTTGTGGTTTACACTGTGAAAGGAGTTTTTCTCCTGAGACTTGGTTTCTCGTGTTCCCTCTCAGATGAAGCACTAAAAGAAGGAAAGCAAAGCTACTCTTTCTTCATGGAGTACATCAGTCAGAATTGTAATGGGCAGAATGCTTCATGAGAGTGTCCTCGAGCAGAATTTTCCTTCTCTCCTTCATAGACTGTTCCTAAACTCTCTTGTGACATTTGTAAGTGTTTGAGAACAGAAGAGTTATTTTTGGAAGTTCTTAATGAATGAAGTAAGTGTGTATGATTATTGAGATGATTGGTGTGTTTGACAAGAATTTATTACAGTAATCCAGAAAAAAACTATTCTAACCACATCAAGTTACCGAGGACACTTATTTTTGAAATATTAAAGGTTCCGATGTTGATTGGTCTGTAATTTTTCCAGCTGAACCATATGCATATTTTTTGAATAGGGGATTTGTTCAAGAAAGCAGCTTATTCTCTTCCCAATATAGTATATATAGTGCAGTGTGATTACGATCATGCACTGACAGCTGGACTTACTTCCTACATGACCCAGGCATTACTTCACGGCACTGTGCCCATTTGCTCATCTAAAATAAAGAGGACAGCAGAGCCCACCTGCAGGTGACATGTGCTGTCACTTCGTAAACACTGGGCATTTTAGCTAGTGGTTTATTTGTTTTTGTTATTTTCCCCCTGAGAACAATTCTATTTTTTCCTACTTTGCTTCTGGTACAATGTTAGTGTGACCTTAAAGTGAAATCTTAAAGGTCCTTTTGTCTTCAGTCACATTTTGGAGCCCAGAGTTTATATCTTTATGCTTGGATGGTATCACACACACAAAACAAACTATAATTTTAAGCATGGCTCTTAGGCAGAAGCTAATCCAGGAAATCAAGGGTGTTGGTTTTTTAGTGACCTAGTTTTTTACTTTTTCTGACTTTGCTAAGACAGTGAAGACCTTTCATTAAAAAGTGTGTCTACCATGCTAGCTGGCCAGGGGAGGCACATCTCCGTGCAAACAGCCGTTGTTTGTTATGGTGTCAATACGAGAGCAAAGGACTGAGTTTCCAAGCTGTCCCAGGAGGAAGGCTTCAAGTACATACAGTAGTTACAGTGCGCAAAACGGGCATTCATACAGCAGGAGGATGACGGAGGAACATGGAGAAAGATGGCAAGAAATGAGAAGTTCCCTTGAAACCTGGTTTCCTGCTCACAACGTATGTTCTGTGCTTAGAACACTGACCCCTTGGACTTTTTTGTGCTCTTTGAAGTGTTAGCATCATGTTTCCTTTAAAATTGTTCATCTGTATAGAATGTGCCCACATTGGAGTTCCTGAAACTAAATGATACCCAAGATTTGTATCATCCCAGTAGTCTAGAGAGGCTGGTGTGTGTGTGTGTGGTAAGCCCTTTGCACAAATGATAACCTTCCTTTGAACTAGGTGCTGCTGTCTTCATTTTGCAAAGGAGTACACTGAAGCCCCCAGGTTTAATTTTTGTAACAAGATCATATGGCTGGGAAGGAGAAAGTGGTAGAGTTGAATGATCCTCCTAACCTGTTACACTGGGAAGTTTGTGATGAATGCCATAGGGCTGGAATCCTATTTGAGAATCAAAAGCACTGTACCAGTTAAATAGGCAGGCTGGGAGTCTATTGAACACACCCAGGACATTAGCATTCTAGTGTTTATCAAAAGGAATTGACCTCGGTCAAATGGTGGTGATGCTTTACTTCCTCAAGTTCTATTTTTTTATTTTATTGATTTTTTACAGAGAGGGATAGAGAGTTAGAAACATCAATGAGAGAGAAGCATCGATCAGCTGACTCCTGCACACCCCCTACTGGGGATGTGCCCACAACCCAGGTACATGCCCTTGTCCGGAATCGAACCCGGGACCCTTCAGTCCACAGGCCGACACTCTGTCCACTGAGCCAAACCGGTTAGGGCTCAGCTCCTATTTTTTATAGAGTATCAGAAGTTCCAGTGCACTTGGAGCTACAAATCAAGCCTTTTTTTTTTTTTTAATGTGAGTGTAGTCGATAAGATGGACTCCTCCCTAAATGTACTCAATTTATGTCACTCAAAGTGGAAGCCATTTTTCAGGAGAAGACATGAAGGCTCTGACCTGGAGGACTTGCTCTTCAGTGTAGCAGCTCACGAAGACGGAGAAAACTCCCCCAGTATTAACACTTGAAAGCAGCAAAGGGGCATTTGTGTCAGAAGCAAAGATGAAATCAGAAGTCTGAGTGGGGAGGGGATGTGTGGGCCATCTGGCCAGTATCTCCCGGGGCTGCTGGCCAGTTAGCATGAGGGCAGGTCCAGCACAGTCTCTTCCGGCCTCACCTTCCATTCTGCCTGGTTCACAGCTCATACGGGTTCCTCACCTGTGAGATGTCAGTCCTCCTGAGGGGCCTCCACCTTCTACCTTCACCTGGAAGGTTGATGGGTGGAGGGTGTTACAACCTCACTGGATGCATTTGGGAGCTGGGGAGTACCTGTGGCTACACCCAGGAATACAAAATTGATATTTTCTGGCAAGACCAAATTGTCATTAGTTCTCAAAACGAGGCACACAAGTCTGGAAACAATGTTTTAAAAGGCTCTTGCTCTGGCTGGATTGGCTTGGTTGATAGAGCGTCAGACTGTGGACTGAAGGGTTCCGGGTTTGATCCCAGTCAAGGGCATATGCTTGGGTTGTGGGCCCAATCCCCAGTAGGGGGCGTGCAGGAGGCAGCCAATCAATGATTCTCATTGGTGTTTCCCTCTGAAATCAATAAAAATATATTTTAAAAATAAAAATGCTCTCCACTGAGACCTGTGTAAAAGCTATCTGATCAGCTAAAGCATGGTGTCAGTTGGCCATTGTTCCCCCAGACCAGGCTTACATGTGCCTGGAACACGTGGGCTGCTCACCTGTGTGCCCCAGTGGGATTGTGCGTAGCATCACAGCTGCTGAAAATTGGTTCATGTGGTGATCTCATAGAGAGGGTGGGCATGTCTTAGTTTCGTTTACTCAGTAGCCGTGTTACCTCAATGCTAAGATGCAGTATTTTTCACACTTGGTTTCAATTTTTTTTTTTTTTTTACAGAACTAGTGTATCTTAAAATCAGTGGCATTTTAGAACTGAAGAAATGCGGTGTTTTCCAGTGATTTGTTTTCCATAATTTCCCAAGAGTTCATTATTCTGTAAGAACAGGTATCTAAAGGATAATCATGGTAATTGCCAATAGCAATGAACTTTTCCTGATGATTCAGAGGGAATCTTTCACAAGACAGTACTAGCCTAGCCCCACCCAGTTATGTGTCTCATAAGGCTTGAATGCAGAACGACCCAAACAGGAAGACCAGTGGAAGCTGAGAGCATGAATGATTTGGTTTGATCTGACTTTGTTAGGAAGAGTCAGGGATTTGTTAGGTTGGTTCAGTTTGGTGCTTCCTGAAAGAACTAACTCAGCACCAGCTGTGGGGAGAAACATGAGTCCTTGTGTCTGCCCTGTCTGCCCTGCCATCAGGCCATCGAGAAGACAGGCATCTGATGGGCAGAGGCAGGGTGGCAGCAGGAGAGAGCGAGCGGGAGGAGGCCGAGGTGCTGCTGGCTAAGAGCAGGGGGTGCTGGAGCCGGAAGCCCCTAGGATCAGTGGGGAGTTTCCGGCACAAACACAACTGTCAATCACCAAAAGTCCCTCCTTAAGAGTTAAGTCAACAGATATATATTAGATGCTGTATTAGATACCATGCCGTGAAAATGTGAGAAACAGCAACGAATGACCCAAGGTAGTTATGAAATAGTTATCTAGAAACTCAAAAGCATAATCCAGACTGAATGCTGCAGGAGTGCAGAGCAGGGACAGGTGTGTCAAATGCCCACAGGAAGGCAGGTTTCCCCCACATCCTGCAGAGGGCTGGTGGCTGGAAGGAGCTTTCTGCTTTGGTGGGAAGGGAATGTCTGGGACACCCCCACACACAGCATCATGGGAAGTATCCTGACCTACCTGGCAGAGGACCCAACCTCTGCCAACACACCAAATGTGCCCGTGACTCTTTGTGTCTCAGGTTGTGTCACCCTCGCCGTCCTGGGTGCCTCAGCAAGGGAAAGTATGTGATCACCTACCTCTAAGTAGAAGGCATTTAAAAAGAAGTTGGAAAAATTATGGCAGGATCTTCACTGTTAATTCTAAGTGGCAGGGAAAGGGGCACTTGGTAGGAAAATGAGGTGTTTGTTGTATTTTCCAATATATTATAGCAAGGAAAGTACATATGGTGAGAAAGTCCATTGAAACATACTTTTCAAAAGAACCATGAAAGCAGAACATTTCCACCCTGAGGCCTTGGCACGTCTCATCTCCAAGTGGAACTGGACCCAGAGCCTTCAAGGTGCTTGTAGCCTGACAGGCTGTTTGCAGTGAGCCCAGCGTTGAAGTTTCCCCAGGACTGCCGAGCCCTGGCCGCACCTCAGACATCACCCTGTCCCTGTGGTGCCAGGTGGGAGGGTGGGGATGGGAAAAGCTGACACTTATTTTCTGGGAAGCCTGCTGTCAACCCTGCAAGTCAGAGACCAGACACTGACAGGATCCATCCCAGCCAGCTCCGAGGGCTGGCAAAAGCAGAGACTTTGGCACCCCCTTCTCCCTGTGGCCCACGCCTCATGCTTGCTCTACGAGTTCTCCCTTCTCTGTCAGAATCCACAGCTGTGAATGGTGCTGGCACCCGCCATTTAGGCCTGAATTTTAGTGGGGATTTTTTTGTCCTGAATTGTGGCAAGAAAACACAGTCATTGCTCTACAAGCATGTCAAACTTGCGGCTTGTGGGCCGCATGCCTCATTTAAACAAGGCGTGGGGCCCTCCGGCCACAAGTTTGACATGCTTGCTTTACATTGAAGAAGCACTATACATCCTTGGACATAAGTGGGGGTTGCTATTTTTTGGAGACAGGTCGCACCCCACTTCCAGCAATCAACCACCTAATAATAAGAAAGATTATCTTCAGATACCAGGATGCGTTAGCATTGCACTCTCTTCAAAAGGATCTGTTCCTCTCCAGCCGCAGCTGCTGTTTGTAATTCACAACAGACACTAAGGAACAGGACAGCTGCGCAGCTGTTCCAGGGCCGCTCAGTGGCAGAGTTCTGGTTATCCATGTAGCCCAAGGCCCCGAAGAGGTGCTATCAGACAGCCCAAGTCAGAGGGAGAGGCCTGCCCCCACCTCAGTTCTCTTCATGCTCCTATAAATGAATTTAAATGAGGGACTCTAGATGATGAAGTTGTGATAAAGCTAATTTATTAAAGCATGCACATTTATCAGAGAAGCAAGGCAAGCAAACCTATCTGGCTTATGCAGCGCAGACAGGCACTCAGCTAATCTGCAGAGCAGGTCGGGTGGGGGGTCAGAGGCATTATGTACCCTCCTGGCTACAGGTTTCAGAATTCCCTGCTGCATATGTTGGTGCAGATTAATTCTCAAGGTTCCTTATTATTTTGTGTGGCCTTCCTAGGTCACAGGAGAAGTGCCTGCCGCTTTATCTTGTCCAGCCTTGAGGATGCTGGCTTCTCTGCTGAGTAAAAGAAATGAAACCGCCTTTCTCCTTTCTCCTCCCCCTCCTTTCCTGCATTCTCTCCTGAGGGAGGCTTTAACCATTTGCTCCGGAGTGTGAGTGAGTGTGCTTGGCTGGGGAAGATAATGGCTTGTTATTTACAAGCTGGCTGCAAATTGCCCACATTGTTTGGTCTTGTTCTAACTTTCTTGTCTCAACTTCCCTATTCCTCCTGCCCTGGCATGTTCCTAGCTTCTCACTGCCCTGCAGCAGAGCCTGGGCCATGTGGCACCTGTGCTTTTTAGAAGACCAGGGTCCTGAGTCCCCCTCCAGAGCCTCCATGGAGAGAAAGGGCAGGAGGGCAGGGGGCTCAGAGGCAGTGGCCTCACAGGTGCTCCAGCAGGACAGGGAGTGGCCACAGGCGGGAAGACGGCCCCCTTGTGTCCTGGAGCAGAAGGCAGCATTCCAGCATGAGCCCCGGGAGGAGCCCAAGTCCTGCTGGCAGCCACCATGGTGGGCAGGTGGCCGGCTGTCAGGGCTGTGGGTGGATGGCCTCCCAGTGGTGGAGAGAGAGTAACGGGGAGGGTGCACAGCATCCGGGAACCGAGGGGCCAGCCAGGTGAGGGCAGAGGGAACAGACAGGATTTACCAGCCTTGACCCCAGAGGCAGGCTAGAGGCTTATGAGGAAGCGCAGATCAATGGTAAAACAGAGAGGAAGCCTTAGTTGTTTGTGCATGTTCAGGGTGGCATGTAGGTTATTGTCAATCCCATGAGCTCTGTGGAACCAACATGTCAGAAAAGAACCTCAGCGTTGGAGTCACACAGGCTGCTGCTAAGTTGCCATAATGTTTCCTGTGAGGGGAGGAGCGTTTCCCTGTGACAAGATGAAACTAAATGCCCGTGTCTCTGAGGCTGGGGAAGAATTCAGTGAGAAAAGAATTGAAGGATCACTGAAGTGGTCCCAGGAGTCTGACCCCTCCTCCTATTATAAATTCACCTGGAATTTGCTAAGCAAATGAGGGAGCGTCATTGCAGGGCCAGGAACGCCCCTGGGGAGAGGAGTGGTGGCCCAGAGTGAAGGGAGGGACCAACCTAAGGCTCTGGTGTAAGGGGAGGCGCTTCAGGCAGTTTCCTAATTAGAAACCAGAAATTTGACTGGAAACTGTCTCCTTCCTGGCATCCCCCCTGTGTGAGTTAGGTGAGCCTCTAAGACATTTTCTCAGGAGGCTGCCAAGTGTCAAATCATCTTTGGACATTATTCAACACCTCAAGCTTGATTATTTTTGTACCCAAACTGCATATGCTTAAAACTAACAGATGTTCCTATTAAAAATGCTTCTCATTTTTACCTCTCTTAGCTCAACATGAGATTTCAAATATTCTAAAGAGCCAGAGACATTTCTTCCTTTTTAAAATTAAGACATCCACAGCCATCTGTCTTTGAGATGTTAAGAAAGCAGGTAAAAACCCGAGAGCAGGGATTGTCTTTGGGGAGTGGGGCTTGGGGTAGAACTTGCACTTTATACCCTGTGTTTTTAAATTACTGCAGGCAGAGGTTGCTGAAGTAATTTTTATAAGCATTTAAAAGCAGGTGGGATTCTGACATCTGAATCCATCCTTCCCGCCAAGCATGCGATCCCAGGAGCACCTGCGAATCTGAGAACAGGGTGTGTGGTTGTGCAGGGAATGGAAGCCAAGAGAGCCAGTCCTCCTGCTCTTAGCTCTCAGTGTCCTTATGATTCTGTTCTGTGTTGAGAAGCTGGCATCTATTTCTGACTCAATAGCTGAGTGACTGAGGGTCTGCAAAATTACTCAAGCCCTGGACCTTGGAGCAGACAAGTACCTCTCTTCAGTAGCCAGTCCCTCCTACTGTCTCTGCCGTGCAAAGCAATTAGAGTTCAAGTCTGAGTTGGACTGCATTGCCGCCCTGGGCCAGGGTGGGCTTCCTCCCCTCTGACGCTGGTTTGCCAGTACAGAGAGTAGCTGTTTCAGCAGGCAATGGGTGAGTGCAGCCAAAGGTATGCCATCTCCCAGAGGACTTGGTGGTGGCACCCAAGTCACCCAATAAAAGTAAATAAAACAGTGGCAATAGTTCTTGATAGGAACCATGGCCCCCCGCCCAGGTCTTCCTGGCCACACCCTCGCTGAGGCCATGCCCACTCAGCGTGGCCATCAAGGCTGGAAATCGCTTGGAAAGGAAACCAGACGGGCTGGGTGACCATCAGCGGGACATCGGACCTCAAGCCAGTAGCCCCTTTGTGTGGATGGTTTAAAAATGTTTTAAACACACAGAAGCTTACAGGCTGACTGTCATGACATCCCCTGGGCCCTGATGGGCTCACTGAGCCGACTGACACTCTTGTCTAAATTGTCCCCTGAGCTCCAGGCAGGAGGCTGCGGAGGGCACGGCTGCCAGTCCTGGGCAGCGTGAGCATCTGGATGGGCTGCTGGGAGCAGCAGACCTGGAGGCTTGAACCAGATGCCGCCGTGTCCCACGCGCCTGTGGGCCGAGCAGAGCCTGCTCTTGGTTAGAAGGGCAGACAGGAGGGCGGAGAGAAGGACATGCGAGCACAAGGGGAAGCACTCTGTGGATCTGCACAGCGGCCCCACTAAGAAAGCCCGAGGCCAGCAGGCGCCTTCCGCGCCCCCGGGGCCAAGCACTCAGCCTGGCGCGGGGAGGGGGCCACGGAGTCTCGGGACGCCCCTCAGCAGACCCTCCTCACACCCGGTTCCTCACTGGATTGCGAGGAAGGCAGCCCTGTGCCCACTGCCGCGGGGACGCAGTCAGCACAGGCTCTGCGGCTGCGTGTGGCAGAGCAGAACCCACCCGGCTCTCTGCCTCCCACATTCCCCCAGGGCTCGGCCTCCTAGGCTTTGCCCCGGGCGTTACCGGCCTCCTCGGGCCACAGCTCAACAAGGAGCAGGAAGAGCTGTGCGGATGGAATGATCACGGACACTAAAAGTTAATGTTCAACCCAGGGAAGAGGCTCTTCCTGGCGGTTTCCTGCTCTGGCCACTGAGGCCCCACTGGGCGCTCCCTGGGCTGGGCCACAGCTCTGCTTCCAGCTCACCAGGCTCTCACCTTCTTGAAAAGCTGGTTTCTTCCTTTTGGGAGGGGCTGGCTCTGCTCTTTATGAGAATTTCAAGGTTGCTGCGGCCCTGCCCATTTGGGAACACCTCTCCCGGGACTCGGTGTCCTTGGGGAGGATTTCCGGGGCTCAGCTGCCTCCCGGGACGGACAGGAGACCCGGCCGCACCATGCGGGCTCTGGTCCTCTGCAGCCTGCTCTGCACGCTGCTCCTCTGCTTCTCCGTCTTCTCCATGGAAGGTAGGACCGTCCGGGGTGCTGGGCCTGACGGGATGTCAGCACCGGGAAGGGAAGGCTGGAATCAGGAAACGTTGGAGGGCAGGCCCCTGGCAGGCAGTCCTGGGCCCAAAAGACGGTCTTCCTCCTGAGTCTGTGCAGCCCTTCTACCCGCAGTGTCACACCAAGGCGGCGGGGTGCCTTCGCCATCATCTCCTCACAGCTCCGAGCACACACAGGCGGAGGGAGGGCAGGCTCCCCGCAGACCAGACAGGGGCTCCCCGCCAGATCGCTCTGCACCGAGGTCCCGCCTCGCTAGAATTCAAGGGCCACTGTGCTGTCCTGTGTCACGCTCGAAGCACAGTAAATGTTTGTTGAGTGAATGAATAAATTAATTAATAGGTTATCTGAGTCTGAACATCTCCCAGACTCATGCACAGTAGACATTGTGGCAGAAGGCATGAGAGGGCACATGCGCTGGTTTAGAAGTGGGGGCGATTCTGTGCCTCTGTGGATATGAGTATCTATCTCTCCCGCCTTCTTCCATCAGATAGCTGAGTATTTTGAGCTTTTTTTCTTGCCTAACTTCTCTAGAAACTGCTACTTTTACTCTTGTTTCAGTGGTTGCAGTTATTTAACATTTATTGGGGTTGGGGATAAAGAAATATGCATAGGGGTGAAAACACCCATCATTTCATGCTGCAAGAATAGCCATGTTCAACATTTTGATTATTTCTTTTCAGTATTGCATACCAGCATTTTTTGTAGTTGATAAATCCCTGCATGTTTGATGTTGTATCTTTATTTATCCCTGCATGATTACTCTCACCAAACATAGTTATGATTGGAACCCTGGGAGTATTTACACCAAAATGTCAGCAGCAGTGATTTCTGAGCAAGAAGGTGATAGGAAGCATTTGTTTTCTAAAGTGCCTGCAGGGACAGCGCGTGTCTATGACGTGGAGCCAGGGCCTGGAACGCACATGCACAGGGCCTGGCAGTGCGGACAGACCTCCGTTCGCCATGTGGAGGCTGCCACTGCACCTTCAGAAGGATTTAATGAAGATGAAGCTCTTTCCCCATAGTTTCCCGTCCGTTTAGGAATATCTCTGGCAGATTCTCCAAAGCAGTGCTATTTAACTGTTATGTTTTAGGTATAACTTGCCATCAAGTGAATGTGCATGATGAATTTACATGCTTAGACATTGAGATGGTTGACAACTTTGCACTATTTTAGGTATGTGGCAAAGGCATATGTGTACATAAAACAATTCCTATATTTAGGGCTACTGTCTTAGGCTCAATTGCCATGGTGAGAGCCATGGTGTCAAAAGGCAGAGACACTTTTGAGTGAATGTTTCTCGGACGAGAACATGAGAAACAGATTCTGGGGGCAGAGAATCCCTCCATATCTACTTTATATTCCTAAAAAGTAAATCCCCTCCAGGCCCCTCCTTTACCTGGTCCTCCCAGAGCCCATCCTGAGCTTTCTCAAGCAGTGTGTCTGAGCCCTGAGCCGTGAGAACTAAAGCTCACGCCAGTCATTCCTGCACAGACCAAGCCCAGTGCCCCCCTGTGTCCGCCCGCAGGAAGAAGGCACCCCCGGCCTCCTGCCAAGCCCTGGAAAGGCAAGCTCTGCTGTTCCCAAGTTCCGGATCCTGTCCTGAGGACCCAGAAAGGTGAGCACCGCACCCCATGGGGCGGCATCAGCCCCGCCCGAGCCTGGGGTCGACCTGGTATGGAGGGGCCATAGACAGATAGGATCACTGCCTCGTGGGGCTTCCCGTCTGTGGGGGAAACTGGCCACCCCAGCCCCAAAGTCAATAAATGAATCATTTTGAACTCAATATGTTCTGTCAAAAGAAAGAACAGGATGCAATTATGAAATGGGGAACAGAGGATGGAGAGAGAGGGTGCAGGCAGGGGGTCTGTGATGTGCAAGAGAAAGGCATGGAGGACAGAGGGAGGGTTGAGAGGTGCTCATGGAAGCTACCAACCAAGGCAGGGCTGGTCTTGGAGCTGGCGCAGAGGTCAGGCGGATGAGGCTGCAGGTCAAGAGTCCGGGAAGTACAGGCAGGCAGAAGGCCTGGGCAATGCTGGGTGGCAGGAGGCGTGCAGTGGGGGAGGCTGCAGGCACCCAGGTCCCAGCCACGCCAGGGGCAGACTGACGCGTGGGCGTGGGCTGGCCCGGTGAGAGGTAGGAGTGCTGGGCCTCTGCTGACCTGTGGTAGGTGGGTCCTAGAGCCTGGGACAAGCACAGTCCTTCAGGGGAAGCTGCAGAGCCTGCCATCAGCCAGGCCTGACACAGAGCCAGGGCACCTGCCCCCACTCCCCGCAGCCCAAGGTCCCCTGCAGGGCCCACGGCTGGCAGCCAGGCCTGACCAGCTCCAAGAGCCTGTGCACCAGAGGGAGCTGAGTGGCTCAGCCTCAGGCCACTCCTCTGAGGAAGGGCACCGCCTCCCGCAGGGGCCGGTAGAAGTACCAGACCTCACACCCTGAGCCCAGGGCGCCCAGCACCCAGGCCAGGTGGAGAGTGAGCTGCTGACGGGCTGCCTGCAGCTCAGCTCCCACCTGAGGCCCAACCAGGCGCAGGAGCCGTGTTTCATGAAAGAAATAAGGCAGAAATCTAGGGAAGAGAAGCAGCATCTACCCCATGCGGAGAGAAGGGCGTGCTCAGACCCTCCCCAGGATGCACCTGCTTGGAGGCAGGAGGGGAGTTAAGGACGTATGCATAGCACATGCTAGCACACGGCTCCCTCGAAACAGCCAGCTCGTGTTGGACGGGATTCCTTTCAGTGTGTATATTTTTTAAATTCCATTGCAGAAATTTGCAAACAACTTAGAACAAGAAGAGCAAAACAAACATTTCTATTGTGTCCTTATGCAACCTCAGTTAAACCCTGGGAACGACGGGGAAGCATTGTCACTGCTTTACAGATTGGGAAACTGAGCCTGAGGCAGAGCGAGGAGTCCGGTGTGTCCACTCTTCCCACTGCAGCCATGCTTCCCCCAGAGCCGGCTCCCCGCAGCGCATTTATGAAGCCACTTAGCCCCAGGGGACTGCGGACTCACCTTCTCAGTCAGCCACCTGCTCCCCCTGCTGGCCACCTCGCTCCTCGCTGGGGTCGGTGTAACAGTTGAAGCTGCCTCACCAGCCACGGGCCACGGTGGAGCCAGGGGGGCGGCCTGGAGTGCCCTCCACGTGCCTGCTGTTTCTTGGGAGGAAGTGTGAGCGGGCCCAGGACGGCGGGGTCAGGAGGAGCAAGGTGCACGCTGAGAGCAGAAGCCATGTGTTCTCGGCCAGGCGTGGGAGCTCGTGCTGTGTGGCCAGCAGCGGGCTGGGTGTGCTGGCTCTGCTCTCTGTACTGACGAAAGAGTGTCCATGCGCCTATCTTTGGAGAGAGAACATAACCAGGTGGCCTGGAGGCGGTCCCTGCGCCCAGCGGGCTGTGGCCCATGCGTGGACATCAGCTGCTCCTCAGCCTCCAGGCTCTCCTGAGCTCTGTTTCCCTGCAGGTGAAACAGATGTTGTATCTTTATCTATCCCTGCATGATTACACTCACCAAACATAGTTATGATTGGAACCCTGGGAGCATTTACACCAGAATGTCAGCAGCAGTGATTTCTGAGCAAGAAGGTGATAGGAAGCATTTTTTTTCTAAAGTGCCAGCAGGGACAGCGCGTGTCTATGACGTGGAGCCAGGGCCTGGAACCCGCATGCACGGGGCCTGGCAGTGCGGACAGACCTCCGTTCGCCATGTGGAGGCTGCCACTGCACCTTCAGGAGGATTTAATGAAGATGAAGCTCAGGGGAGTAGGGACAGGGACAGGAAGTGCCAGGCATAGGACTCTGGGTCAACCCAACAAAATCATCTTCAAAAATCAATGTGCCAAGTGGCCGATTGCTGGAGTACACTTACCAATTTACTAAAACAGTCTTTTTCTCAAGTGTTAGAAATGGGCAGCAACCTGTACAGCTGCACTGTCATAGCGCAGTGTTTAAAGCAGTGTTCCACCTGCTGGCCGTGAGCACTGAAGGGCATCGGGCTTAGGTTGGGGTCAGATGGCAGCTGTTTAAGCCCCACCAGCGGGAAGGCCTCCTTCCCTCCCCTCCGCACCCGGAGGCCGTCAGTGAGGAAGCTCCTGGGGGCCTCCCTGCGAAGGCCCTCGAGGCTGAGGGCTGGGAGCTCGGGGCCACCGCACTCCCATGCAAAACCATCACCCTCGGTGGTGCTGGGGTGAAGGGGCACAGAGGAGTTCCTCCCACCATGGGATGGGCCCTGTTTTCAGGGAGGGGCCCAGACTGCCGACACAAAGGGCCATGAGTGTGACAACTTGCAGATTTCGGCAACTTTGGGTGGTACCATGGGTATAGGAGGGCTCGGTGCAATGGTCCCTGGAGGGGGAGGTAGAGAGGGTGGTCAGCCCATGCTGTCCAATTAGAGGGTTTGGATTAGTGGCCTTATTCCCTGTGATTATGTCCATTCGCCAAAGCAACATAGCAAACACTCCCCACTTTGGTGGTCAAACCAGTGTTTACTATTTTCTGTGAGTCCCAGGTCAGCTGGCAGCTCTGCTGTGCTCGCTGTGCTCAGTCACTGCTGATCTTGGCTGGGCTCTCGGTTCTGGGCTCAGAGGTCTCGGATGGTCTCACTCGGGCAACTGGACCTTCCACACAGTCCCTCTCCCTCCAGCAGGCCAGCCCATATGGGGCTGCAGGTCTCACCTCTGTGAGTAGAAGCACTTAAGCCTCTTGAGGCCTCAGAACTGGCCCAGCTTCCTCTCCACGTCATCACTTCATGGTTAGCCGAAGCCCCGCACCAGCACTCAGCCTCAAGGAGCAGGGAAGCAGACCCCATGTCTTGACGGGAAGCTGCACAGCCACATTGCAAAGAAGGGGTGGAGACTTGTGATCATATTGGCAATCAATCAACCACACCATCTGCTGTGGGAGCCAGAGAAGAGAGTGTAGGGGTTGCAGGGTGGGGGTCGGGGGAGGGGAGCAGTGCTCAACCACGGGCCCCCAACAGAAATGCTGAGGGTTCTCACAATGTGAGTCAGCATAGACCTCACCTGTGTGTGGCTGTGATGATCACTGGGAAGACAAGGGCATCTTCACATAGGAACAGATATAGAAGCCATTAGCGCTATTTGTGATTGAGACAGGAGGCGTGGATAAACTATGATAGCTAAATTTACTTTCTATATAGCTAGTAGTCATATAGCAATTGCTGTGCAGCACTTACATCTGCTAACTCATTTAGGTTGGGGTCAGATGCAGCTGTTTAGGCCCCACCTCCTAATAATCCTAAGAGTTAGGTACTATTACTATGGCCATCTTTACACATGAGGAACCAAAGCACAGAGAGGTTAAGTAACTTGTTGAAGGTCACACAGCTAGTAAGTGGTAAAGCTGGCTCTGCCAAATGACCTGGCTCTAGATTCTATGTTCTTAACCCTCTCACTGCCTTGCATAGTAATAGCCTGGAAACAGAAGGAGAAAAAAAAGAATAATCCCATTACCATAACTTAATAACCCTCTCATTCGTGTTTCCTTTGTTTTGTCATGCAAAATGTTTGCCTGGTTTTATTTTTTATTGTATATCATTCTTTAATTTTTAAAATTCACATTACATCATAATCATTTTTTTCATATTACAACATAATCTTCATAATCATAGTGGTTATTACTATTAAATTTTTCACTATTGGAAACAAAACTCTGAAGAATACCTTAGTGCATGCAGTTTTTTCTTTTTGTGGATTATTCGTCCCATAAATGGGACCCAGCTCTGACACACACTTTGCTGGAAGATGGTCTGAGGGGCGAGGGCCTGCATGTGGGCAGGGCCTCCACCCGGGCCCTCAGCCTCCATGGACTCTGCTCTTGACAGAGCCAACCGAGCAGCTAAGCCACCTTCTCTCCATCTCCTGCGAGGAAATTGGATTTCTCTCTGTGCCTCGGGGAGGAGGGTAGAGTTTGATTCATGCTTTGATTGTTTTTAAGATTGTGTCTAGAAGTGAATCTTAATTGTGTTTCCTCTCTCTCCACCCCTGGCTCTGCCTGCTGTGTCTGCCCGTTGCTCCTTCCCAGGACACCGTGTGAGGATCTGCAAACCATGCAAGGTCAAGCCAGAGTCCCCCTTCTGGGTGGTGCCCGGGGCGCTCCCACAGATTTAGTGTCCCCCAGCAAGGCTCAGTTCCTGAGGCACCCCCGGGTCCCCTCTGGAGCTGGGACTGAGGCACAGGCCCTGGGAGCCTCTGCTCCCAGCCACTGGTCTCCTTAAAGACACAGCATTCCCCACGCCACGTTGGATTGTTCTTGTCCTGCCTTTCAGAAAAGCAACAATAAAGAAAGAAGAGCTTGGAATGCTTGTCTTTCTGAGTGTCCTTGGACAAATAACCTAGCACTTCAGGACTCATATCCGCATCAGAGATATAAAAGCTGGTGAGGAAAACACAAGGCCAGGAAGGCCCCTCATCGCTGTTCCGAAGGCCTCCATTCACCTGCTTCAGCCTTCACTGCTGTGAGCTGGGTGTTGGAAAGCTTCCTCTTGGGCAGCAAGGGCCCTGGGGAAGTTCCAGAATTTCAGATCTTGGTCCCATTGTGCCACCAACCATCAGAGTTACTGTGAACCAGGCTCAGCCCACCCGGCCTCAGCCCCCCTCCGGCCCCTGCAACGCAGACAGGATTCCCCGGACACATGCAGCGGTGAATCCAGAGCCGTCAGAGCCTGCAGGGTGCAGGGAGCAGGCTCCCCAGGGCAGCTGACTGGCTGCAGAGGCCCCGCCGTTCCACAGTGTCCAGCCCCTCCACTTGTATCCAAAGGCCTCTGAGGGGTCCTTTCCTATCTTCCCCATGAGAGTCGGCAGGAATCCTATCTAATAATAGAGAAAAATGGTAATTAGCCGTACCTCTGCTACCCTTTCCATGGGCTAATCAGGGCGATATGCAAATTAACTGCCAACCAAGATGGCGGCCGGCAGCCAGGCAGCTTGAAGCGAACATGAGGCTTGCTTGCTTCAGTGACGGAGGAAGCCAACGTTCCCCGCCTGC